CGACTTGTAACTTGTTGCCAGACACTGCTGCATAGGGACTGAATAAAATACTAGTCCTCTGCTGAAGGAGTTGGTAGATTAGTTGGAAGGCAGAAGTGACAGACATAGTTAGAAATGGAACAAATGCAGTGGGAGAGGTGTGGACAAGGTGCTTTCAAGGATAGATGATACAGTGTGGTAATCTGGTGATGTTACACAAGGTGTGACATTGGTGCTATGTCTCCAGATGGGTAAGAGTTCAGCAGGCAGACAGAATGGGAAGGGTATTTCCAGCAAGGGAAATAGTGAGGGTGACAACAGGTATTGCTATGCAATCTGGAAAAGCACTGGATTGTCATGTTTACTGAAAACTCCTTGTAATAGTTTTACCTTTAATAATCTTTCACGGCTTATTTGAACAAATACTCTTGTCTTTTAGGGGGCTACTGAATGGTCTAACTGTTATCATATCGCTGGTGATAATAATCCTTTGGCAGTGAACAGAGCATCAAATAATATCTCATCTCTATTGACGAAGAACCAAATTAAAGAAGGGTAAAAGTTTAACTTAAAAGACTGTATTGCATCTTTTAGATAATCACTTTTCATATTGATTTTGAGATGTGCCCCCAGTTCCTTGAGACATCATCATAACCAAAATGAACAGTATAAGACTCCATTTAAACTGTTTTTTGGTTTCTTGTTTCCCTGTAGCCCCAACTGGCCTGGAACTTGCTATGTAGACCAAGCTAGCTTCGAACTTACTGTGATCACTTGCTTCTGCTTCCCAAGTACTGGGATTAACAGCATGCACCACCATGCCTAGACTGCTATTTAAGTTTTAAAAGCTTACTGAAAATAGACTACAATTTAACTACTTTGTTACAATTCTGTTTACCTTTTTTGTTCTTATATACCTCTTCCCCAGCTATTAGATTATAGATTAATTTTATTATTTTTGAAGATTAAATTTTTTTTTTATTTTTATATGTGTGAATGTTTTGCCTGCATGTATGTAAGTTCACCTGTGTTGTGTGAAGTGCACAGAAGAGGGTGCTGGATCCCCTTGCAACTGGAGTTACAGATGGTTGTTAGCTGTCATGTGGATGTTAGGAACTGAAGCTGGCTCTTCTGCAAGAGCAGCCAATGCTCATAACCATTGAGACACCTCTCCAGCCCCTTTATTTTTTAAATTATGTGTGTATGTGTATGTGAGTGCAATGCCTATAGAGGCCAGAGGTATCAGATCCCACAGGAACTAGAGTTAAAGGAGGTTGTAACCTACCTAATGTTGTTGCTGGGAACTGAACTTGAGTCTTCTGGAAGATCAAGTGCTCTTAACCATTGAACCATCTCTCCAGCCCTTATTTCTTTAGACAAGGTCTTCCACTATAGCTCAGGGTGACCTGGAACTCACTTTATAGTCCAGCTAGCCTCAAACTCTCAGTGTCCTTCCTGCCTGTCTCCCAAGTACTGGGATTAATAGAATGAGCTACCAAACCCAACTATTTGTTTACATTTGCAGTAATGGGGTAGATTTGTTTTAATTCCACAGATTAAAAAATTATCTTTTAAACATTTTTACATAGTCTTATTTTAGACAGGGTCTATGTAGCCCTGGCTGGCCTGGAACTTGCTTATATAGACCAGGCTAGACTCAAACACATAATAATACTCCTGCCTCTTCCTCCTGAGTATAGAGAGGAATACTACATAGTATTCCGTTAAATACAACTACTACAGTTTATTTAGCTTTTTTTCTACTATTTGGCACCGCAAATAATCTGAGTTGAAAGTTTGAGAGCCATCCCCATTTTAATATACAATAGATTCTGACTAGTGGCCCTCCAGCCTGTTTAAATCCTCTACTTACTTTGCCCCAGAAGACTGTTAAGTTAGTGGTCTTTTTGTTTATATGTGTGTGTGGGGGGGGGGCTTCTCAGTGCCACAAGTGTGTGGCGGTCATTTGGGAGTTGGCTTTCTGTTTCTACCATGTCAATCTCAGGGATGGAACACAGGTTAGGTTTTTAGGCTTGGCTGAGCTATCTGCCTGGCCCCCTTGTTTCCTTTTTTTAAAATTTATGTGTATTTGTGTTTGAGTGTAAGCACGTGTATATGGGTTTCTTTGCTGGCCAAAGGGGCATCATATCCCCTAGAATTGGAGTTAACAGGTGGTTGTGAGCCACCTGAAGTGGGTAATGGTACATGAACTCCAGTTCTGTAAAAGCAGCAAGTGCTGTTAACCAGTGAGCTATCTCCAGTTCCTTGTCCTTTTTGGATTAGGCTCGTTAGTGTGTTGTTTTTTTATAAACTATCCTTTGGTGTCATGCTCAATGCTTCTTGGGTTTTTTAAGTCCCCATTTCACACTGAAGTTTTTATTTTTTCTAAATCTTTTTTAAACATTAATATAATTATTGCTGTATGTGTGTAAGTGACCCATCTCTTGTAGTGCCCGTAGAAGACAGAAGATGGTGTTGGATTCCCTAGAACTGGAGTTTCAGACGGTTGTTAGCTGCTATATGGGTGCTGGAAATCAAACCAGGTCTTCTTCAAGAACAGCCAGTGCTGAGCCACCTCTCCAGCCCCAATTTTTTCTAAATTTTAAAAGGCTGCTGTTTTCTTCTTAGTATTTTGCAATGCAGAGGACTAAACCTAGGTCCTTGTTTGTACTTGCTAGGCAAGTATTATATCACTGAGCCACAGCTACAGCTCTCATGCTGAGTTTTAGTCTAAGTATTACAGTTGACCATATCCTGTAGATTTTTTTTTTTTTTTTGGTCTTTTTTGAGATAGGGTCTCCCTGTAGCTCCAGCTGCCTGCAACTCACTCTGTAGACCAGGCTGGCCTCAAACTCACAGAGGATCCGCCTACCTCTGCCTCCTGAGTGCTGGGATTAAAGGCATGTACCACCATGCCCAGCTGATTTTATAAAATAATTTTCTGTTACTGTCTAGGTTGTTGATGATATGCTATTTCATAGTCATTTATAACAGTAGTTTTGTCTTTTTTCATGCTGGGGAATCAGTCCCAGGGCCTTGGATATTCTAGGCCAACACTCTACCACTGAGCTATATCCCCAGCTTGTGAAAGTACTTTAAAGTTTATGTATGTATGAGTTACTCTGGGATCCTGTTAATATGCATGCTGATCAGATGGGTCTGGAATGGGACCTGCAATCTCCTGGGTGATCCTACTGCTCCTGGTCTATGACCAACCAAGTAATACAATTTTAATTTAATTTTTAATCATTTGATATATAAAGTAGTTAGGTTTTGACTTTTTTTGAAATACCATTTCTTTTCTTGCTTCTAAATGTCTCATCTTTATTCCCATTTTTAAAACCTTTTTTTGATTTAACCTATGCTATTTTTATCCACTTTATGTAAAAAAACATAAAACATTTAGTAGATTTTTGGCTTAAAATTACTTATGCACCTGTGGTTATCAGTAATTATATTTTTCCATTATGTAAGGATTGCCTTTATTGCAGTTCCTCTAGTCTTAAATTGTTTTAGAAAACAGTCTTAGGAAGAACAGGCTGGTCTTGAACTTGCTATGAACAAAGATTGGCTTTGAACTCCTGATCTTCTGCCTCCACCTTTCAAATGCTGGGATTCCAGTTTCTTCAATAACCTTTCCATTACCAGTTACATAACTTAGTGTTTCAATACCATAAACTTGTCTTAGAATTCTTTACTATTATTATTTTTCTAGCTGGCCTGGAACTTGCTATGTAGACCAGGCAGGCCTTGAACTCACAGAGATCCACCTACCTCTACCTCATGAGTGCTGGGATTAAAGGCGTGTACCCTGCTAGAATTCTTTTATTTTTAAGGACATTTTATTATATGTGTTCATATGTGCCCATCTGCACCCAATGCATGTCGTTGCCATGTAGCACTTGGGAAAATCAGAGGACAACTTGGTGGGAGCTGGTCCTTCCCTTTCTATTGTGGGTTCCAGGAATCAAACTCAGGCTTTTGGTAGTTGCCTTTACCAGCAGGGCCATCTCTCTGGCCCTCTTAACAATCCTTAGTTGTTAACTCATTTCCTCTGATGTTTGCTTCCCCCCCTCCCGTTTTTTTGTTGTTTTGTTTTTGTTTTTTGATTTTTAAGTTGTATAATATTGGGACCTGGAGAGATGTTTCAGCTCTAACTCCAATTACAGGGGATCCAACACCCTCTTCTGGCCTCTGCAGGCACCAGGCACACATATGGTGCACCTGCTTTCATTCAGGCAAGCACTCAAATATTTTTAAAAATTACATGTAAAGCCATTATTTGCCCTCTGAAAGTCTGTCTTTTTAAAAAAAAAAAAAAATTGTCTCATTGTGTAGACCTGGATAGCCTGAGATGCTGGGATTAAAGAGATGTGTACCATGTGCATGGCCCAATCTTAATTTTTAAAAAGTACTTGAAATTTTTCTATTTCAGTTATGATCATATGTTTTCTTCCAACATCACTTTAAGATTTTAATTAAGGGGCTGGAGAGATGGCTCAATGCTTAAGAGCACTGGCTGCTCTTGCAAAGGACCTGGGTTCAGTTCCCAGCAGCCACATAGCAGCTAATAATCATCTGTAACTCCAGTTCCAGGAGATCTGATGCCCTCTTCTTGCCTCCGTGGGCATTGCACACTGGTGCATTTACATACATGTAGGCAATAAATTTTTTTTTTTTTTAAAGAAAAAAATTTTAATTAAAATGTTAAAATGTTGATTTTTTTTTTCAAACCATTTTTGCTATAGTAGTCTCTTTGTTGTTTTGTTTGAGATCCACCTGCTTCTGCCTCCTAGGTGCTGGGACTAAAGGCTTGCACCACCATACCTAGCCAGAATATATTTTTTTATCACATATATTTTGTGTTACTTCTATAGGCATGGGTATAGAGGTTAGAATACAACCCATGGAATTTAGTTCCCTCCTTCCATGTGTGTGGGTCTTGGTGATTGAATTCAGATCATCAGGCTTAGTGGCAAGTATCTTTATATGCTGAGCCATTTCACTGGCCTAGCAGAATATATTTAAATTTCTTTGCTTTGTTGCCACAGAAAAACATCCTGGGGTTTGCCTATTGATGCTGTTCAGTGGGATATCTGCAATCTCCCATTGAGAACTGGCTCTGTGGATATTATCGTAACAGATATGCCATTTGGGAAAAGGTAGGACTTTTAAAATATGTTCTATGATGGATTCACCTACTTTTGTTTCTTTCCTTGGGGAATTCAGGAATATATTAACTACATTTTGATCCTGACCATCATATGGAATCATTTTTAAATTACTTATAATTAACTTCCTCCATTGTACAATTACATGATCATATTTCACATACAAGGCTGAGGAACAATTATTTCTCAAGACAGAGTTGTACTCACTGTTTTTGGCTTATATAGTTTGACTGCTTATTTTTAGATTAAGAGTTGTCAAACTTTTTTTCCAGTACAAAACTCTGAACATTTTTTTAACATAGCTTATTTTATTGATGTGTAATGGGAAAGCTCTAGTTTCTAAGACAACTATTTCTCTTGCCTCAAATTTTGTTCTCATTTAATGTAGTTTTAAATATTTACCTTTTGCAAGTAGTTGACTCATGAGCCGCCTTTTATAGGATGGGCTCCAAGAAGAGAAACTGGAATCTTTATCCAGCTTGCCTACAGGAGATGAGCCGTGTCTGCAGACCAGAGACAGGCAGAGCTGTACTACTTACCCAGGACAAAAAGTGCTTTACCAAGGTACTGTATAGTAGCTCAAGTCTCAGCCTGTGGCAATTTGAGGGCTTTTTAAAGTAGGCATGGACCCTAGCACCTATGCCAGGGTTGGGGGTGGGGAGCTGGGGAAGAGTCCCAGAGCTGCTTGCTGGTCAGCCAGTGGGAAAATTGTTTTCTTTAAAGGTGGACATGATGAGATTGATGTTTTCTCTTCCCTTACCAATTCTTAACTGGCAGTTAAGATCCCAGATTGGTTTAGAAGCAGATTATCAGCCTAATAACTTTTATGCATTTTGTGTGTATACAGGCATTATCTGGACTGGGTCACATGTGGCGAAAGGTTCATACAGTCTGGGTGAACATAGGTGGTCTCCATGCTGCAGTTTATCTTCTGAAACGTACATCCCAAGCCTTTGTTCATCCTTCAGAACAAGATGGAGGAAGACATCCTAGATAATGCAAAGAATGAAGATGTTTAAAAGTATGTGTAGTTCCTGGGCCAGGTGTGGTGGCGCATGCCTTTAACCCCAGCACTCGGGAGGCGGAGGCGGAGGCAGAGGCAGGCAGATCTCTGTGAGTTCAAGGCCAGCCTGGTCTACATAGTGAGTTCCAGGACAGCTGGGGCTACAGAGAGACCCTGTCTCAAAAAGACCAAAAAAACTATGTGTAGTTCCTAACACTGGAAATGTGTTAGTATGAAAAACTTGCTTAGGAAGAAAAATAGTGCAGTCTATAATACTTAAACTATACTTCAAAGCTCTTCACTTTGATTAGCAAAAAATACGACTAATATGATATAGTCCAATGGAAAGCCAATTAAAGTGCTTGGGATCTAGGTTTTAGAACACTTAATAACCTTGTTTTTACACTGTGGTAAATGGAAAGTCACCTTGGCCTAAAGGGAAGGCAGAAAATGTAATTGCAGTTATCTTAGGCCACATTTTATTACCTATCAAGCCTTGCTGTTCTGTAGCTTATGTTCTTTACCTCAGCCTCAAAAAACTGAAACATCATTATATTGTGTCGTTTGCCCCTTAACACACTGAAACCTCAAGATCTATAGAAAAGTTTACTATCTGCCTTAGGTAAAATATGTCAGATTAATACACAGAATTAGAACAGGTCTAAGGTTTATTAAGGGGTGTGTGTGGATACTTTTGTGACTGTCAGAAGAGTTGTGAAGTCTGGGATTAACATGCCAAATTAAAGGAATTTTCTTTCAGCATACAAAGCCTTATGTTACTTTTTCCAAAGCCAAAAAAAGTAAACCTGTCAATGTCTTTTTGTGGGAAGTGGTTCAAGGATGAATAAAAAGCCTCAATGTATCTTTAAGTGAAAGCTTTCTTTGGGAGCCATGTGTTTTTATTTTCTGCAAAATCCTTGTTCATTTTCCAGTTGCCACATATTCTACCTGACATAGTTCTATGGAATATGAAATAACCTTAATATTAATTCAGTCTTTTTAACATGGTGTTTCCCTAAAGCAAACACTAGCTGAGGTTTCATGTGAAATTATTTTGGGAGAACCTGGCTTCATTCAGCTTAACTTTTCAGTGTGATGTCTCCATTTAGAATAAAAGGACACCGTACTTCCTTTCTTTGGAAGAAAAGTTCACATCGGCCGCATAGTCAACCCTCCTAATCTGTTTTCTCTGGGAACTGTTACTCCTTGAGAATTAACTGGAAATAACATCTATAAAGGTTTTACTTCCTAGATGGGCATTTTTACCATTGCTAAAGGGATTACTTTTGGATTAAGCAGAACTTTCCACCTGCAACAAAAGAAACCCTTTAAATCTCTAAGAACTGGGCACAGAACCAGGAAAGTACACTACCATCATATATCTGTCTTCACCACCATTTGCCAGAGCAAGCATTTAATATTTACTGAACAGATGAATTAATAATTTTTGTATTAGCTAAAATTTCTAAGTTAATGCATCCATTTTGTGCTTAATTCATAATTCTATTAAGTTCTATTTTTAAAAGTGTATACATGTAGTGAGCACTACATCATCTTTCTATTATGTTTTATTAAATCTGGTTACTAGAAAAGAATTAGAATAGGATCTTCTTTTCTCCAGACAGGTTCTCAACGATAGCCCTAGCTGGTGGCCTGGAACTCACCAGGCTGGCCTCAAATACAGTGATTCCCCCTGCCTTTGCTTCCCTAGTGCTGGGATTAAAGGTATGCTGCCCAGCTAAAGAGCAGATGCCTGCAGAGGCTAAAAAAGGGCTTCAGACCCCCTGGAACTGGGCTTGCAGGTAGTTGTAAGCTGCCAGAGGTTGTTGCTGGGAACTGAACTCAGGCCCTATCTATAAGAGCAGGATGCATTCTTTAACTACTGAGCCATCTCTCCAGCCCATAAAAAATGATTCAGAAGGACTGAAAGTGAGTTAAAAATGACAAATGACACCACCACTTAACTAGTTATGCCCTTAGGTTTTAACTTTTCAAAGTTGTCAACACTTTTTTTTTTTTTTTTTTTTTGGTCTTTTTGAGACAGGATCTCCCTTAGCCCCAGCTGGCCTGAACTCACTGTGTAGACCAGGCTGGCCTTAAACTCATAGAGATCCTCCCACCTCTGCCTCCCAAGTGCTGGATTAAAGGCACGCGCCACCACACCCGGCCCAGGGTCTCCCTGTAGCCCCAGCTAGCCTGGAATTCACTGTGTAGACCAGGCTAGCCTCAAACTCAGAGATCTGCTTGCTTCCCGGGTGCTAGAATTAAAGGCGTGCACCACCATGCCAACCCAGTAGTCAACATATTTGAAAACATAATCTAAAAAAATTGCAGCACAATTGTATCAAGACTACCATCATCACCCCTTATCCTTAATGCCTAGGGAGTAAGACATTTCTTATGGTAGGAACAATTTTTACTAAAAGATGTGAATTTAGCTTCATTCTAAATTCTTAGCTTCTATCTGGCTTCCATGTCCTATATTTTTTTAATTATTTAATAACCACAAACTTAGAAGCATTTCATTAACATCAGCATTGACTTATGCACTAACAGTAGCACAGCCTTAAAGGCTAAGGCTAACAACCAAAAAAATGAAAGGTTCGGTTTTCATGTCCTATTTAAAGCAACATAGTTTTTTCCACTAAACTCTTGACTGTGCAACAGGCCCAGTATTACAGTCTTAATAAAAGTCATTTAAATTCCATCTTATTTGAAGTGTTTAACATCTTTAGGCCACTATTCTAGAGCAGCCATTTCTCACTTTCAGGCCTTCTGAATCCTGCTTTTTTATGGGCTGGAGAGATGGCTCAGTAGTTTAAAGAGTGCATCCTGCTCTTATAGAGGGCCCAAGTTCAGTTCCCAGCAACACCAAGCAGCTTACAACCACCTGCAAGTCCAGCTCTAGGGAGTTTGAAGCCCTTTTTTAGCCTCTGCAGGCATCTGCAGAGCATACCTTTAATCGCAACTCTGATGTCAGAGTACCTTTTTTTTTTGAGACAATCTATGTACTAAGAACTTAATGTAAGTTTGACCATTCTTAAGTTATGCAGGGATCCAAATCTTAGAAAAATTTTACTGTTTTCCCAAAGACATTGTGAAGTAAAACTAGCCCACTTTCCCTTTATGTTTACACGACAAATGCATGGCAGTGAACAGTCTGAAACCATTTCCTTAGTATATGCCAAGGCATTGCAGTTCTACCCACTGTTTGCTTTTCACCATTAGAGAAAATGTCAACATAGTCATCCAGGATAAGCCATGAGATTAAAAAGTCATTCCACATTTCATTGACTATTTCAGGACACAGATTTATTGCCACCTTTTCACATGAGTATCTTTGACCAGTTTAGATACAAAGTAACAGATACAAAGTAACAAGTATCCATTTGTAAGGTATAAGCAGATGTCTGAGTTGTGCATTAGAGTTCATGCCTGTAGAAAATTATTTAATATGACAAGTTGCTATACTATCTAAAGGAATCATTATGAGCATTTCTTTTTACCTGGCAGACATTTGGCAAATTTTTATTATGTGTTTCTCCAGCCAATATAATGCAGTAATTTACTCTTTAAAAATACTTCAGCAGCTTTTTAATTTCTAGCTTGAAGCTTCTGAAGATTTAATTTTCTTTTACGGAACATCAATATGACTGCATTTCAAATACTCAGCCCTCAAACAAGAAACCAACACTGGAACAACTGCTTTCAAAATGACAAGATAGCAGGCACCACAGTTCAAAATTGTGTCGCATAAAACACGCTGTTAAATTATTGCTAAAGCAAAATGGTGACAGGCAGCTTTCACTTATCAATTCTGCCATGAGTCAGTTTAAAACAATGGTGAGTTGAACAACTAGCCTTAGCCTTATCTTTTTAAAACCAGTGATCTATTTTAAATAGAGGCTAGTAGGCCTCCTGGTGCTTACCAGAGGCTGTTTTCATTGACTGTATAGAAAAGAGGAGGCAGAGCAAACCTGCCCCACTGTGCCTGGTCTGTATTGTGAATGGGGAAATGGGGAAAAAAATAATAAAGGCTACTAAATTCTAAAGTTTCAGTTATCTACCATTTGAAACTTGAAATGTTTAAAACGTTACTGTAAGACAAAAAAAATGCATTTTCATTTTTCCCCAGGCACAAAGAAAGCTACAGGGTTTTTATAAACATCAACTGCATGACACTGAGATTACATAGATTATAGAAGGCACAACCTTCTATAATTAATTTATAAAAATACAAATATTCATACCTAAACCACCCGAACTATACAGCAGCATTTGTTAACGTCAGTGATGTTGTCACTGAGCATCATGTAATTTTGCTTATTTTTAAGAATAAAAAAGTCTTGTCATCTTGAAGAGCTTGGCTCTTGAAGACTGGTTCTGCTTAGGCAACTGGGATATAGCCTTCGGCACTGTCCTGTCCTGAAGGAATGATCTAAAGTAGGAAAAAACAACAATCACACAGTTATTATCTTAATTACAATTATAAGAGGCATGTCAACAAAGTGGGAGACCCAAAGTGGTGTAAGGGTGAGGGCATTAAGGAAAGGATCCTTGAGAAGTGGTGTTCTGAGACCATCTTCAGTGACTCTTTAACAGACTGAGTTGATGAGTCCATACAGGGGAGAAAGGATTAGTTAACTAACCAGTTTGACAAATATTTTCTAAAAATGTGGTACTCATGCCAACAGAAAGATCCAAACAAACATTTCTTTGAACAAACCGAAGCCTAGAAACAGGGTGGAAAAAGTATTAAGACAAAAGGGGCCAAGGATTGTAAAAGGTAGGGAAAATGAATCTAGGTTATTAGAGAAGTAGAAACAGTCTCCGCTATGGGAGACTAACAACAGAAATAGAGTTCAATCCTAAATACCAATTAAAGTTAACAGTATGCTAATCAGTTTCTTACTGCCAAAAACGGGGAGTAATGAAAAAGAAAAATAAAATCTGAGTAAGGATGTCCTCAAATATAAACTTATATATACTAAGTAAACTTAACAAAACCAAGGATTTTCAACCCTCAAGGTCAAGTGCTTGACTCCTGAATGTGACCGAACAAAGTACTCAGTAATTATATTGCCTGAAATAGTCAAGCTAGTCCCTACCCTTGTGATGCTAATCTTTTATCATTCTAGCCCAACAGTTGTAAACCATAATTATACAATTATACCAAATCTCCATTCATGAAAAGATGTAAAAAACCTTATCTAGTTCAAATTTTGCAAATTCAACAAAAAAAATTCACACACCTTTACCAAACTTTCACCAACTTTCCCATTCAAGTACAAATGTTTAACATATTTAACATGTTTTTGTCATGGAAGATAAGAAATCCTATGACACTTCAAAAGGAGACAGGAAACTAAGCAAGCAAGCAACCAACCAACCAGCTGAGAAGCCAAGCACAGGAACTGCTATGGTTAATCCAGGAAACCCAGTGAAGAGCTTATCAACATGGACAGATGAATTCTGAGACCTCCGAGGAATCGGCTTCCTCCATGAAGAGTATTAGGATAACCTAGGTTAAGTATTAATTTCTGCACAAAAGGAGTCTTTTTTTAATAATTTATTGAAAATTTCATACAGGGATATAAGTACATAAGGTGTTTTGATCAAACCCATGCCCACTCCCTCCCCTCTAATTCCTCCCATACCTCCCCATCACTTTTTTCTGGTAACTTCATGTACTCTTCTTTTTTATGGGGCTTTTTGCTACACTAACATTCCCCCTCTGAAGAGGTAGCCCTAATATCTTTGGATTAGATACAAGTTCCCAAATACTTTCAACATTTTTGGCCTTTGGAATGGAGTATGTTGCTAAGAGGCCCAAGGACATTTTGACTTTTAACTAAGAAGCTGGATACTTTTCTTTGGGGTCTTTTTACCCTAACTGCCTAGCCAATTCCTACCTCCTGTTCTTATCACACCATCCTCTGAAGAGGTTACCCAGCTTGTGGATAGGGAATTGGAATGCAGACTGCTCTGGCTTCTTCCATGCTGAACCAGGGTGGGGTGGGGGGACGACACAAGGTACGGCAATTGGGGTACCTCTTCGATGGGTCTATCTAAAAGACTCCCAAATTGCAGATAATTCTTATCACCACCTGGAGGGAGGATCCAGGCACTCTCAGGCAGTCCCACATTCTCAGCCCCTACACCAGGAGGCCAGAAACAGGCACTCTCTGGGGGTCTGCTGAGATCACAGTACACAGATGAAGGTCAGAACCCACCCTCTCAGGCTGTCTCACAAAAGGAGTCTTGTTCTATTATTTTGTAGTCTTTTACTATCACTTGAAAGCTAATTTCACAAATCCCATAACCAAGTTCCCAACTTTACTTGAATGAAAAGTTAATCCATGTCCTTGAGGAATGATATGCAGTTTGGTGGGGAAAACAGTATTAGATGAAAGTTGTTGAAAGAAATATTGGAATATTTTAATATCCACATGTATGTACATGTGTGTGGAGACCAGAAGACAACCCAGCTGTTGTTCCTCAGTAGCTGTCCACCTTGTTTTTTTGATAGGTTTTCTCACTAGCTTGGAGCTTGTCAAGTAGGCTAGGCTGCTATCCCCAGAGCCCCAGGGATCTTCTCTGCCTCCCCAGTGCTAGGTTACAAGTCTGTTCTACCGTGCCTGTCCCTTTATGTGAATTATGGAGATTTAATTCAGGTTCTCACGCTTCCACCACAAATACTTTATTATCACCCTAATGCACTTAATACTCCGTAAGAAAAATCTGTGGTGCACAAGAAGGTATTATTAACCATTACCCTTCGTTTTTCCCATACACTCAGGTTTTTTTCCCTTAGACATTATCTTACTATGTAGCCCTCCCTGGCTGACCTTTGATGGAGATTCGCTTACCTCTCTGCCTGGACTACAGGTTAGTACAACTGGGCCTCCCTACTATTTTGTTTGAGCTGGACACCAAGGTGCACATCTTCAATCTCAGCACTCAAAACGAAGTCCAGTTCTCTCTCTCTCTCTCTCTCTCTCTCTCTCACACACACACACACACACACACGAGGCCCAAGAGAAGGGGGATATACAGTATTGAGGCAGGCAGAGTTTGAGGCCAGTAAGGGCTACACAGGGAGTCGCTATCTCAAAAACTTTTCTTTGAAGCTACCATTTTTGTCAGGCACACTATAGCACTGAAGTTTTATTTACAGTAAACAAACTGAACATGAAAAGACACAGAATTCTAATTTGGCCCAGAATTCTAATTTCTAGGTGAGACTAGGTAAACTGAATTAAACAGCAAGGCATACTAAAGTTGGAAGGCCACTGTCCTAAGCATACTCAAATATTAGGGCAACTCTGCCCCCGCCCCCACACAAATGAAAATCTAAGGACTGAAATTTAGGGGTGGGGGTTCACTAATGTGAACCATCAACCCTAATCATTATTTGGGGACAGGGAGCACAGGGCCTCACTATTTAGCCCTGGCTGGCCTCCAGAGATCCATCTGCCTCTGCCTCCCAAGTGCTGGGATTAAAGGCATGTGCCACCACACCCAGCTGTACTTCTGATTTTTTATTATGCTATTTAATGAAATCTCAACTTCCTAATTTCCAAATTAGAAAATTGAAAATTAATCACCACTTGCTTTCATCTTTGTTAGATTTAGCTTTCAGCTTAATTTAGATGAAGCACAGAAAGAAGATAAAATGAGCAGTTAAAGAAAATAAATGGACTATAAGAGGTTTGGCTTTTATTTTCCTTACTGTGCTTAGTGTAAGAGAAAACATCCATATTAAGTATTTTGTAACCCACAAGTTTGCAGCTGTGCTATTCTGTCAGAAGTGGCATTTCAAATGCAGAGTATTCCATCCCTGAAAGAAATTCTACTGGGCAGTCTCTTCTACAGTGCTAAAAGACCAAACCACCAAGCTTTTACAAAGACATTTACATAGTGCTTAGTTCATTTTACTTAGATCTGGCTACTAACAATAGGAACTTGCAGAACAAGACTCAACAAGACTCCTCAAGCAGCTCAGCATAAACACATGTAAGCTTGCAAAGAATGGGAAGCACTATAATTAAGTACCAGAAGTCAGGCAAAAACATTGCTCATTTTCTTTCAGACAGGATCTGATCACTGTATAGCTCTGGTTGGCCTGAAACAGGGATCCACCTTCATCTGCCTCCAGAGAGCTGGGATTAAACATGTGCGCTACCACACATGCCTAACATTGCTAATTTTTAAACAGGTAAATCATATTTAAATTTTTAAAATATTTTTGTGTGTGAGTGTATCGCCTGCACGTATGTGAGTGCACCCATGTCGTACAATGCGGTGGAGGTCAGAAGAGGGCTTCGGATTCTCCTGGAACTGGAGTTAAGGACAGTTCGTAGCTGCCGTGTGGGTACTGGGAATCGAACCCGGGTTCTCTGCAAGCGCAGTCAGTGAGTGCTCTTAACCACTGAGCCATCTCTCCAGCCCCACGTTTGAGTCTTAACAGTCTGCATTTCAATGAAATGAAAAAGCTGTTGTCATCAACCCATTCAGAGTTCTTATGTGTCATACTCAATGGAATTCCTTCTGTAAGTAGTAATGAGCCAGCAAATTTCACCTATCATTTTATGCTATAGCGGTAACTTTAACAATCTAGGATTTATCAGGTAGACTTCGGTTTTGGAGGCCATTAAATAGGAAACTGAGCTCAGTTTACTAACTGATGAGAATAGAGGGAGAGACAACTGAGATATTCAGAGGCAAGGAAAGGAAGATATTGCTGAACCTTGGACTTAATTCTCAAATAAAGCTTTTATTGTCAAAGTTCTCTGGATTGTAAGTAGATCCGATGGTGGAACTCCAGCTGGGGGAGGGGAGAGACAAAATGGAAATAAAACAAGTCAACAATCTGCACTAAGGAGGAATAAAAGCGCTGCAGCCTAAGAGGCTCCAGCTCAAGCCTCAATTTGTGATGGAACCAATCTGTCTGGTTTCATGACTCATCAGACTTCTGATGATCAGGAGAGGGAGAAAGCCAGTACTATGTATAGGCATTGGTTGAGCCAGTACAACACAGGAAAAACGGGTACAAAATCATGAGAGTGCTAAAATATCTTTCCGAAGGACTGCAGAGGGAGAGGGAAGGGCCAAGTGAAGCGCTGGGCTCTGAAGGAAAGGCTAAAACTAGGTTTATACTCTAATTCGTGATACTCTCTAACTTCATGGTTGTAGCAAGGGTCGCAAAGTGAGGAATTAACTCGGGTGATCATGGCTTTAATCTACCTCCACAAAAAAATACTCTAAAAAACGGGTCACAACCAGTAATTACCTGCAGTTTTACTGCATAAAACCCCAGGTGAGTGCCTAGTCTGTTTCCCTTCTTTTTTGCCCATTATAATTACCTCCCAACACATTCAAATCTGTGGGCAATCTCACCCCTCCAATTTTACACCTGCTCAATTCTCCTGCAGGACAACGCCCACGCATCAGGTTAGCCCTAGAGGCTGGCCAGAATCCCGCCCATAATCTAGAATAAAGACTCGACAGGGAGAAGACGTCGAGATCACGAGGGCTGAGGGGGGGAAGGGACTCCTCTTAGGCCCAGGGCGGTCCTTAGAAGGCAGGAGGCAGCAGAGAACTCCCATAAAGGTACTGCGGCACTCCCCTCCCCCTGCCAAGGGTGCGGCCTTCTCTCCGCCTACTCTACTGCAGCTCTCTCCGGATTGCAGCTCGCGCGGATTTTTGGAGAGCAGCGCCTCCCGCCTACAAACCAGCCCGACCAACCCCCGCCCCTTCACTCCCACGGGTGTGCGGAGCAGGTCCCGCTCGTCTCGTCCCTCGAGCAGTGGCATTTCGGGTGGAGCCGTACTCGCCACCTCCCAGCAGCTTTAGGCTGGCGGGCCGCCCCCCGCCCCCAGCGCGCGCTTCCTGCCACGTTGCGCAGGGGCGCTGGGCCAGACACTGCGGCGCTTGGGCCTCCGGGAAGGCCGGAACCAGCGACCGCCTCCCCGCCACCCCCGCTGGCCCGCGCAGTGGCTTCGCTCATTTGGGACACGGGCCAAGTGGAAGGGCTCCGGCAGCCAATCAGATGGCAAAGCCGCGCGGGCGGCGGGTAAACCGACTCGCCCAGAGGAAGGGGCGGGTGGGAGGCCGCCCGGCCCCAGCCACTTTCACTAACCCTCCCCCTCCCCCGCGGAAGGCCGACCGCACCCGCACCCGCACGTCCAGTTCCCCTCACCCACCCAGCTCCCCGCCCCACCCAGCGAGCACTGCGAGGAACCCAGCGGCTGCGCACTCCGGAGGTTCTAACTGACAAGCGCCTCACTCCAACCAACAGACGCCATTTGTGTTTTCACGCACGGCGGGAGGAGAAGAGGCCAATCAGTGACGAAGCCTGAACCGGAAGTGCTCCTCCCCTGCGGGAACGATGGCTCCGTCGGATTACAAGCCTTTTCCGCTCCCTTCTCCCTCCCCCTCCGGTTGCCGCAGGGCGGGCCGCGCTCCCGTGTCTAACCCACCAGCCTCTGTTCCCTTCCAGCCCAATAAACGCCCCACGCCACCATCCCTCCGAAGGTGACGCTGCCATCCTCGTTCGGCCCACCTCCACCACCCATTCCCCGCGAACCCGCCGAGCCTCCCTCCCACCAGAGTCCCGCTCCCCTACCTAGCCGAGGCTCTCTGAGGAACCGGAGCCCCAGAGCACAGCCTCTTCTTTAGGCGGCCCCGGCAGCCTTCGCTGATTGGCGGCTAGCTGGCCAATGGGTGCGCGGCGGTGGGCGGAGAGGCCAATGGCGCGGTGGGAGGGGGCGTGTCTCGCGTGCCCCTGGCGCCGGCGCTGGGAATCCCCGTGCGGTCAGTGGCGTTTCCGCTCGGGCAGCGGGCTGAGTGGGCGGCCGCCGCCGCCGCTGCCGCCGCCGCCGCCGCCGGGGGAGGGGCGGCCGCCGCCCGCCTGCGCTCAGAGACTCACGCAACCCCAGTCCCGCCAGTCCGCCAACACAGTAGTGCCGGCCCCCCTCCATCCCTGGCCCTTCCCCCTCCCCGCCTTTGGCTCGCTCCGCCTTTCAGCCCCCCACCCCCACCTCACGGGTACGGGCAATTCCCGGCCAGGAAACGCCGTGGCGCCGCGTTGGGCCTAACTCGAGTCTTGCTGCCTCCCGGGAGTGCTGTGCGCCGCAGCCCGGGCCCAGGCCCCGGCAGCGCCTGGGTCAAGGTAAGGGTCCGACAGAAATCAGTCACCGACCCACACGGCCGGGCCCCAGGGGAAAAAGGGTCACCTCCGTCTCCCCAGGGTCGCACTGCTCGGGTGGTAGACCTGGGCCTCTCCAGACTCCTAGCTGGAGAATGCTGTCCCTTTTCCTTCTTGGCAAGCCCTACATACCATTGCACCCCTCTTTGCCGGGGAGAAAGGCTCCCTTGAATCCAGTCGACCCCACTACCCTTTTAATGTCTTTCCTGGGTCAGAACGCTTCCCCTCCCCCTACTCTGCCTTTTTCCTGGGAACTGCCTACTCCAGGTTTCCCTTTTACATGAGGTTAGGCCTCTCGCTACCCCTACCCTTCTCATAATACACAGGCATACTTTTTTTCCTGCCCCCCCCCCACCTTCACCCTGGTTCTTGTGGCCTTGTGACAACTCTGATCATTCTGGGCTCTGGGGGCCCGGTCCTCCGCTCCATAATCTCCCTGGGCGCCTTCCCTCGACTTCTTGGGTCCCTATATTAGATGGCTGCTTCCTTGACCACCCCAAAGACATTACCTTCTCCGCCCCCACCTCACATTCTTGAGCTCCCTGTGGCGTTTGGCCCTGTATTCCTGAGAGATCCCTGTTGAATTTGTAGGGTTCCAGCCTAGAATTGAGCCAGATTTTGTCGTTTTCCCTGCCTAGGGCGTGGAGAGGGATCCTTTGAGAACGTCTTTAAAGGCAGGGGGGGAAAATGTACTCCTGAATCGTCTTCCCCTGTGCGTGCAAGCCAAGATGTGAGGTGACTGATAGTGGGCACAAGCCCTGGTTTAAGTAGGTGAATCGCGGAGAGGGAAAGTTTTAACTGCTGGGAAAGCCCCTTCTATGCTAATTTATTCTATAGAGCGCTATGCCTTTTTCATTCTTAGGAATAAGGGGGTCTTTCTCTGAAATACTGATGCCACGGCCAGCTCTACTGGTCTGGGTCAGGGGAGCATGTATGACCTGCATTTTCTGTTCTCACGTTACTTGTGTAAACGTATTCACCAGTAACTCAGAGCTCTGGGTTTACTGGGTTTTGTCTCCCTGAATTCCTTTATCCAGTTTTTCCTGTGTTTATAATACAGAATTTAGGTTCTCGTTTCCTTCATCCCTTACCTAAACAAATTGTTTTTAGGTGACATATTTGTGACCAAGGTCATGTTTACATTTCTTCCTTGAGCATATGTTTAATAGCTATACTTTTGATTGGGAAGGCTCCAGATAAGTGTTAGGAGCTTTTCAGGAGGTTTGTGTGCTTTGTATTTGTAGAAAAGTAGTTTTTGATACTTAATTTTGTATTCATAATGTTTTCAGGTCACTGGGAGGAAAGTTAAAAGGGGTAATTTTAGATGTGTGAAATGGGACCTAGGGCTTCTAAAGCAGAGAATACTGACATAATCAGAGGTTTCTGAGCTTTTTGGAGGACATAGGAATTTTTTTTTCTTGGATTTCTTCCAGTTTTCTCAGGCGGATCATTAGTTCTGTGGCCAAAATTTCTGGCTCGTTATGGGATTAGAGTCTTTAAGGTTATTCAAACTGTCATGTGTAGAAAAATGAATTATGTCCTTTGGTAGGACGTGACACAAGGCTTTGGTCTCTAGATGCAAACTTAAATACAGTGGTTGGATGGAAAATTGGCTTTCTAAAGACTTAAGCTTATTAATCTTTACTCTTTAATTGCAGGTTTAATTAAAATTAATATTTGGAATTTGGTAAATGTTGATCTTTTTATTCCCCTAATCAAAAACCCCAATTAAAACAGTGACCTTAGGATTGTTTCTAAAAGCATAATTCCAGCCCTTCTAGCATGGAACACTGGTCCAAAAAAAAAAAAAAAGGGGGTAAGAAGGGGGGGGGGGGAAAAGAGAAGGTATAAAGAGAAGGTTGTTCCTGTGTTGGATCACAGGAGTGAGTATACAAGGCAGCAGCAGCTGCTGGCTCTGGAGCTCTGGTTGCTACGTGAGAAGCTTGAGTAGTGCTGGCTGCTGTCTCCAGGGAAGGACAGCAGTGCAGCGTCCATTAATGCTGTGGGCTGCAGGGAACTGCACTTAGGCGATGGCTGTAGTTGCTTCAAGACTAGGAAGAATACCTTGCTTGCTTTCCTGGGAAATTTCACTGCTCAGCTGGTTTGCCTTTTATTGGGGAAGAGACCAGAATTAGCAATTTATAACCTCTATCCATTTATAGATACCAGCATCTGAAAACTGAATCATAGCTAAAGACTTTGGGTTTTGGGGGGGGCAGATTTTTGTTTTTTAGTAGAGGTTTTGTACTTTGATAGGGCTTAAAGTTCAATTAGTGTTGATTTTTTTTAATCCATTCAAAACTAAAGTAGTAAGATTGTAAAGATTTTCCTGAGAACCAGAATAGGGTGAGGAGGATCTTTTGCTTTGTTTTATCCCTGCAACTGATATGTTTTCCTCAATCTCTTCAATCATTGAGTCAATACTGATTTGTTGTGTATCTCCCTTCTTCCAAATTAGGCCATATGTACCTTAGTGAATAGATGTTCTGCTAAAGTAATCTTAAACTCTAAAGTGAGCTAAATATGTTCTTAATTTCTATATTAAATCTGTAGACATCAGATTAGATGTTTTCATTGGTAATTGACCTATATAAATTTGATTCATTGTATATGTTTTGGATATAGTCTTCTGACCCAACAAAGATTATCTTGGCAGTAATCCATGAGAAATATTTAGAATATTAGGAATATTTAGAAATTGAGTAAGTTTGTTCAGGATAGTAAGAAGACAACCAGAGGCCCTTACTGAGTTTTTTGTTTTGCTTGTTTGAGGTTTTGTTTCGTTTTTGAGACAGGGTCTCTCACTATGTAGCCCTGGCTTACCTATAGCTTGCATAATAGACCAGGTTGACCTCAAACTCACAGATACCCACTTTCCTCTGCCTCCTGAGTGCTGGGATTAAAGGGGTGCACCACTTCTGGCCCCAAGTTTTGATCTGCCTTTTCCCACAACTGAACGTAGCTTGGATAATCTCTGATCAAGTCCAGTAGTTTGTCAAGCCCAGAAATACTTCAAAGTGAACCACCTAGGTAGGTATATACAACACCTAAGACCATGTGTTGCTCCCCCCTCCCCTAAGACTGTTATGTAACCCTTCAGAATTTTTATTTTAATTTTTTATAAATGTTCTTAAATCCTTCAAACATCTGTAATTTGTAGTATAATTCTGTAGCTTTTGTGGCAAAAAAAGAATAGAGAGCATTTTGACATTCACAAATGTGGTTCGTATTGTTTTCCCAGTGCTAAAAGCAGACCTACAAAAACAGAACTTTTAATGGTTAATATTTTAGGTGGTTCTAATATTACATAGGTAAGACACCATTATCCGATAGGTATTCTTTCTCTCATACTGGCTGTTTAACGTACTTAAAAGTTTAAGAGACAAGTGTTTTTACCTTAATTACTGTATAATATAAAATCACTTTCGCATTTTTATTTCCTGTTTTTTGGAGCCGATTGTTGTCTGAATATCATTTTCTGAAGGATCAAGAGATCTTTTTCATACAAGGACTAATTGGGCTTGGATACTTGAATTTTTTGATACTGTTTTGTGTCTAGGAACTTACATACTTCTGGAATTATTTTGACCATTTTGACAAAAGTGGTTATGTCATTTTTGTCCTTGAATGAGGAAATAAAATAATATGGTCTGTATGTATTTTAACCTTATCCATTTCAGACTGAAATAGCTTATGAAACATTAGCCCATAGTTAACACAGTCACTGATTATTGAGTACATATTATCCAAGAGAAATTAGATCACAGGTAGAATAAAATTTTATTATAACTTTTAGTCAAACTCTAGGGATTTGCCAGTTTAATTTGAAATTAGAAGGCCTAGTTGGCATTAAACTTGGTTTGACTGCAAAGTGTGTTGAAAAATGTGTATATAGTAATACAACTGATAGGATTTATAATTTGATTGAAATATCCCTTCAGGTGAGCTTCTTAAAAAATAAGAGTAACATACCTATGGTACAGATTGGTACTATTTTTTACTGCCAAAAAATTGCAAAATAGTGGCAAATAGCATTTTAACCTTCACTTGATACTGTGATTGGTTTGTCTAGTGGCTAGAATTCAGGGAAGATTATAAAAGGTAGAGAGAATATCGTTTCTTTCACTTAGTTATACACATTTTGTTAAATCGTGTAACATTAGGAAAATTGTCCTACTGTGTATCCATTTTTAAATTGGGTAGAAGATGCTAATAACTCTGAGGGGTGAAAGCATCACTTCAGAGCATTCTTACTGGATGCTTAAAATGAAGGGAGCTGTGACATACAGTCTCCATCTACTTCATTTGTACTGAGCAAGAAATTTGGTCTGCTTCACTCCGTGTTTCTATCAGACTGGTTTTGTTTTCTGAATACCTGGAGGAATGCCTTATTTAATATAAAGCCCCATTAAGTTTCCTTGATATGGAGTGAAGGAAATGAATTTTCAGCTTTTTAGAATTCTTAGTATTTTCAAAACCCTACGATTATCGGGTAGTTTTGCTTATGTCTGATGCGTCCTTGTCTCGTCTCTCTTATAGTATGAGGCATCCCAGTGTTTTTATGGCAAGTTGAAGTGATACTCATACATAATCATACCCAGAGGTGAGGATACCTTTTTGCTTTAATCTTATGAATTTAAAAAACAAGCAAACAAAAAGCTCAGTAGCTATAGGAATTATACATAGAGTTGGTTTCTATGGGGAATCAAGTTTTTTATTTATGCTGCCTAATCAAAGAGAAATGCCAGTTCCTTGCTGCTCCTCTGTTTAAGAAATAGGTGGAGGCATGGGAGGAGCCAGAGACCTTTGCAGCAGGATTTGGTATGAGTAAAAAGGGAAGATTTTTGTTTCAAATTGCCAGCTGCTTATGTCAGACTGACTCCCTTATTATGCCTCCAGTAGGCCTGTCAATATGGCCAAACAGCTAGATAAGTGCAGGGCAGGACAAAGGGCTCTTTGCACAGCAGGGAGGCAGGGTTGGTGGGGGAGGGGCAGGAGGTAGGAAAGGCTAGAGGAGCTTTTTCTTGGGACATTATTCATTTTGGTGTGCATTAAAGAAATTGTTTTTAGTTCCCACTAGAGCATTGAATTTATATCAAGTATATACTTTTAAGCCCAAATTTCATATATTCCAGAAATCTGGGAAGAACTCATCCTGTCACTCAAGGAAAAATAAAGCTTTGTATGGATTGAAGTTCCATGTTACCTGCCCTTCTGAGTACAAGCCACCTACAGAGGTCTAGAACATCTGCTAGCTTGATCCTATTAGAAATGGAAAGGGATATTTTCTGTGAAATTTTTATTTCAATTCATGCAGTGTGTCTATTTGGGTTTAGATTCAACAAGAAGATGGAGAATACTGTGCTTCCCTTTGTGCAGTGATTGCATATTGTTAGCTTCGATATTATTTCAGTAAGAGGGGTTGTAGTCGAACATTTATGTGTTGGGTCACCATTGTGTAAAATGTGTACTGAGAAAAGACTCTATTTGGGCGTTGGGGCACTGAGGCAGGAGGATCAACCCATGTTTGAGTCTAGCCTGAGCTACAGAGTTGAGACAGTCTCAAAAATAGAAAAGGAAAGCTGCTTATTGTTTCAGTCTTCCACCTACTTCCTGAAAAACCTGATGTTCTCTGGAGATTACCTGCCTCCCCTATCTTTTAGTTTAGGCTCAATCCTATTTGATATGTTTTTGCTCAGCTCCCAACAAAAGGTGATTGTAGCCAGCTCATTAATGTGAATTATGAAGGTAGAGAGATGTAGGTTATCTCTCTTAAGTGCAGAATCATAAAATATTACTAAATGTAGGTCCCTGTTATAGTTGTCATTAAACTGTTAAAAGGATTGCTATCCTGTATAATAGTTTTAGCTACTTTTAAAATAACATCACTGGTATGCTAGTTCTTTTTTAAAAATTACGTTCACAAATTAGATGGTAGTTTTTAGGATTGCAAAATGATTCCTCCTTATAAAGCAGTATATGATGGAGTCCATTTTAATGCTTGGTGTATTTCAAGAGAATTTGATTTGAACTGTTTTTCCAAGAGCATATCTGTTGCTTGAATGAGACCCTGTACTTATGTGTCACTGAACTAAGCTTAAAGTTTTTCCTTCTATCCATACTGCATGAAACAATAAAGAGAAGTGGAACACTGGTTTCTGTTTATATATTAGCAAAGAAGACATTGTTTGTTGTTTGGTCTTTGTTTGGTCTCTTTTTTTTTTTTTTTTCCCCTTCCTTGAGTCAGGGTTTCCCTACAACCCCAGCTGGCCTGGAACTCACTTTGGAGACCAGACTGATCTTGAACTCACAGAGATCAACCTGCCTCTGCCTTCTGAGACCTGGGATTAAAGGCTTGTGCACCTCTCCTGGCTAGAAGGCATTGTTTTAAACTAACAACCAAGGCACTACATGTAATACACATTGTATTATTAAGCAAACTTGACTGAGTTTGTTGTCATTCCCTTTTGTAAAGGAAATACAAAGGTGTTACCAACTTAAACACTGTATTTTTAATTACAAGTCGTGAAAGTTATAATAAAGAGAATATTGTTATCTGAAAAGGGAAATTTGAGAGATTGGAGAGAGCTCATTTGATAAAGTACTTCTAAAAGAGAATGGAAGCTCTATCCCTCAAATCCATAAAGCAGCTGGGTGTGGTGATGTGTGTTTGACATCCCAAGATTGGAGAGGCAGAGACAGGCAGATCCCTGAGGCTCACTGCCAGCCAGTGTAGCCTACTTAGCCAGTTCCAGGCCAGTGAGAGACAAGAGCGGACACACACACACACACACACACAGAGCACCTGAGGTTGTCCTCTGACCTCTATACTTACACATGCACACTCACAATTGGAAGTTTGAGTAGTTATCACTGCTGTTAAAGTTTCTTATCAGCAAAATAGCAACAGCATTACATTGAGCTGTATTCTATATTGCTACAGGCATTTAACTGGCTATTTCTTCTCTTTATAGTCAGCTTACATGGATTATTCCATAGGATTGGAACCAAAAATTTACCAGATAGCCATTGCTAGCATTGGGGTAACACCCTTGGTACCTTTCCCAAATAATTAGAAATCTCTAAAGAGATGGCTTCTGTATCTTCTGAATCTAGCTAGAGACCTTAAAAAGTTCCTGACAGAAGTGAGAAAGTAGACCACATCTTGATTCCAAAGATTTTCATAAGGTATGGCTCCCCAAACAGCTAATTTCATTTTCAATGAGACCTAGCCAGCAGTAGGCTAGAATAGAGGTGAAACACAAACACGGTACATCATCTTGCCTGTGCAGCTGCTCCACCTTATTTCCTGCTATTATTATCCCACTACGCCTCTTGCAGCAAAAAAAAGAAACTAGGACAAAGGGGGAAAATTGGATGGGCTACTGTGATTTTTATTATAGATAGATTGTGAATTTTTGTAGCTGTACTTAAATACAGAGCTAATTCTTAAAAGTCTGTAGTGATAGAGATTTTATAACTATGATGTCCTCCACTTTCTTGATAAATCGTGTCATATTCTTAGCCTTACAGAAAGGATTTAAGCATATGTGATTTCATTGGCTATTCACACAGTCATTATTACCACCAGATGCCACTGTATTATTAGCTTGAAGAAAGGTGAAATCCATTCAGTAGATAGTATTTGCAATTTGAATTGGAAATTACCAATTTGTATAACTTAGGTTTATGACTAAAATAAGATTTTAAAAGTTAATCCTTTATATATGTTGACCTCTTTACCATAGTGGGGATGAAATTAATTAGCTGTTTGAATATGAAATTTTCATGCTTGAGTTCTTTCTTTAAACTGTGTGATGTATTCTTAAAACCTTTCTCCAACACTGCCCCTCAAAATAAGAAATGTAATTTTTATCATGTTTATTGTTGTCTTCTGGTGCTGAGAGATTCTTCTCCCACTCCTGAAATGTGAAAACTCAACCAGTAATCTAATAAGGTGTGTGTACCACTGATATAGTAAGAGCATAATCTTATAATTTCTAGATACTATGACCTACTTGGGATATTCTAGTATTTGTGTTAGCATGTTTAATAATGTCAGTGTGTTAATTTTAATGCCAGTCCACAGGGATTTCATTGTTTTATGATTGCATTTATTATTGTTTTCTGTTAGGGGAATTTTTGTCTCTCATCTCCATGGTTTTTCTTGTCCTGTCCTGTTGTGATCTTTAGCCCATTTTGAAAAAGTCTTATTTCCTATTACTGGCCTCTGTGTATATCATAGCACATACAGTTTTATGCCTTCACAACTTCTGTGAAGGAGGGTGATCTGCAGTTAATAATCAACTAAGCATTCTTGGTATCCAAGCAAGATTTTACTTATAAAGAAGAACCTTGAAGGACATGTTAGCAAGTATCTGCCTTTATCTTTAAAATATTAAAATTTTCTTTACTGTGGGCTATTGAGTTAACTTGCTTTTGAGGAAAAACCAGTTAAGTATGATTATTTCAAAAATAAATGTGGTTAACCAGGCGTGGTGGCGCATGCCTGTAGTCCCAGCACTTGGGAGGCAGAGGCAGGTGGATCTCTGTGAGTTCAAGGCCAGCCTGGTCTACATAGTGAGTTCCAGGACAGCTGGGACTACAGGGAGACCCTGTCTCAAAAAGACAATAAATAAATAAATAAATAAATAAATAAATAAATAAATAAATAATAAGTAAACAAATGTGGTTGTTGTAACATTTGGGATAGAATGAAGAGTACTTTTTTGTGGTTTTGAGAATTGAACCCAGGACCTTGCGTGTGTTGGTCCAAGAGAAGGGTTTTTGAGGCAGTGAGATTGACCACATGGTAAATGTAACAATAGATTGATGTATGAAAGCCGTAGAAGTAAATATGTTTTGTGCCCATAGCCTGAAAAATGTTAGCTGGAATTTCTTTTTAAAAAAGAACAGATTTGGAAAAAATGTAGGAGCAAGTCTAAAACTGAAATCTCTTTTTAAATATTTCTATTCTTTCTAGAGAAATGTAGTTTTATTTGTACTAAACAGAACTTTAATGCATAGCCCAGTAGTAGTACAAGAGGGCAGATTGATTATATCAAGGTACATTTTAAGATGAGACTTAAAAATATTTCAAATTGTTGAGATTTTCTTCTTTTTTTTCTCTGTTTTGTTCTTTTTGAGACGGTCTCCCTGGCGCCCCAGCTGACCTGGAACTCACTATGTAGACTAGACTAGCGTTGAACTCACAGAGATACGCCTGCCTCTGCCTTCAGTGTGCTGGGATTAAAGGCAGTGCCACCACACCTTGTTAAATTGTGATTTTCATATTTGGGCTGCTTTTATTGAGAAAGTCTATTAAAAAAAAACTTTCAGAATTAAAACAAATACCATAAACTCTCACAGATTAAACAGTCACCTTATTGGTAGCACAGCAAATAAGTAGTACTAAAACCAAGTATCTTCTAAAAATAGAAGAAACGTTGCTTAGGTCAGATACAGAGCTCAGAAGTTACTGTAGCTGTTCCACTTAGAATAAGAAGAAAGCAAACTAAACCTCAAGACTCCCTCTTTGGAACAGTGGGCTTGATTGCCCTGAACCAAATGTTTTACTCCACTCTTAAATTTGATACCTAGGCC